ATTCAGGATTTTAATGAATCGATATCACGTTATCCAAGCCAGAATCTATTTTAATCGATAAATCGATTATCAAAACCCACCCCTAGTGACGACATCACTGGCAGCACTTGCAGCGACCAACCTGGCAGTATGCTGGTGCCTTGAAGTGCAGCAGCTTTCAGTGACAGTCTTGTTTCTTCAGTTACTACCTAACACTCACGACCACATGAGAGTTTGAAGGTTCAAGCATCATCACACGTATGTTCCTGTCTCTTTATAGATTTCTATTGAACGGCTAAGACTGATAGTTTGACCGACTCACCTCACATGCATCACAGTTTGTTCAGGTAAAAATGACGACTCTGTAGCTGTGTCCACTTTTTTCTGCAGGTGTTCAAGCTTCCTCGCACCAACCTGGACTTTCTCTGGTGCCTGAAAGAGTTTTGTATTAAAATAAATAAATAAATAAAAAATAATAATTAAAAAAAAAAAGAAAAAAAAAAAATCACAAAATGTATTTGCTTCAGCAGAAAACAGTCTTCAATGCATGATAAGGGCATCCACATTTAGTTTCACTTTTGTACCAGAGAGCAATGTTGTACTTGCTGTACATGTTGTTTGTGTAGTTTCTTTAAAGGTTTCTGGATAATGTCGAGTAGGAGTATTTTAAAATGTAGTGAGTCACAATACCTTCAGTCGAATGAAGAGGGTATTGATCCTTGATGAATCAATGGCCTTGTAGACCTGCTCTGGAGTCAGTGACTCCACATTCAGAGGTTGCAGTTTCCTGTTTTTGTCAACCGTGAGGATGTCAAAAGGTACGTTAGCAGCCAGCTGAGGGAAGGTGGACCTCAGCAGTTCCAGAAAGTCGTCCTCCTGCAGGCTGCGGTGACACCGCAGTTTGTGAAGTGGGTAGTTCTGAAATACTAAGAGGAAAGAGAAAAATGAATCCACTCAGTCACAGCTTGTTCAGTTATCCATGACGTGTACAACACATAACTAAAAACAGTAAAGATGCTGGGAAGCTTTTTGGCTGCTTTATTGTTATTGAACTGAAGCAAACAACCATAGTCAGGGCTCTT